CTGGCGGAAGGAGGCGGCGCGTTTGGCTGCCAGGAGCCGCTTGCGAGCCTCCTGCCGCTGCCGGTCCACCGAGTCCAGGGAGCGCTCCTTCACCGGGTGCACCTTGGAGCGCGGCGGCTTCTTTGGTATCGGGGGAGGCACCTTCTTCTCCTCCTGCACAGACAACAGGACCGCTGGGACCTCCAGGGGACGGGCATCCCGGCGGGCTCGGCACAGCCAGCGTCCATGCAGCGCTGCCACGGGTGCCAAAGCCATGCCGAGAGGCTCCACAGACTCTCCCACATGTCCCCGTGGGCTGCACATCCCTTCGTCCATCCCATGCCAGGACCCTGCCCAGCGCTTTGCAGGGATATCTCAGTGGGACAACAGCCCTTCTTTAGCCTCACTTTTCCCCAGCTGTTTTTCAAGTGTTGGCTGAAAGTAGCCACCAGTGACAGCCCAGCAGTGGTGGTTTGGGTGCAGATGTGTTTGGGGAGGGGGAGGGAGGGAGGTGACAGGGATGAATGCCACAGTAGAGCTCTGCCTTTACCTTGGGCTCCATGATCTTCCACCCATTGGCCTTGAGCTGCTGCAGCTCTGCAAACTTCATGCTGACATCCTCAATGGAGAGTTGCAGGAGGTCCCAGAAGCCAGCCAGGTCTTGGAAGGTGGGCACAGGGAACGCGTTGGGATCCTGTGGGGACAGTGTCACCCGTGGGACATTGGCTCTGCAGGCCATGCAGACATTCTGCTCCCACTGCTGCCGGGGGAGATCCATGTCCAGCTCTCTCCACAGTCCCTTTTCCACTGGCTGAGGGTATGAGACACCTCACCCCCCACAGCTGACCCCCAGCACTGCTGCCCACACTCACCATGTTCTGCTGGCAGAGGCGATAGAACTGCTGCACCTTCTGGGACATGAGGAGCTGGGCACTGCCCACCGCGCTCCGGATCTTCTCCAGTACTGGTGTGGGGAGAGCAGACAGTCAGTGGAGCCTCTCCCCTGTGCAGTGGGGACAGCCCAGGGACTACCCACATCCAACCTAGTGTCTCCTCCCTCCCCAAGATCCCACTAATCCCAGCAGGTTTCCAGGTATTTCTTGCCCTCACCCAACCCCTTTAACCTTGGCTCCAAGCTGGGAGCACTGCAGGACCACAGCTGTGCTCCCCCAGCTCTACAGAACCCCCAATCCCTCCACCCCCCGCAAACCCCCTGAACTCACTCTCCTCCGGCAGGTCATAATCCTCAGCCTCCCTCTCCATCTGCTGGCACCAGCCTTCCATCTTCTCCACCTCTGCCTGCAGCAGTTTGATGAACCACTC